TGGATGCATAGATATCACCTTAATAACTTTTGATTTGAACCTGAATGAGAATTTAACCATGCAATAGGTCTGTGATCTGTTTGGATTGCAAAAGGCTGTCCTTAGAGGTACACTTCAATTTTCTTAGAGGTTACATTATGGCGCAGTCCTCTTTTTTGATTATTTCATGTAAAAAAATCTTTCCTGGGATTGCGTAATGGCATTAACTCTCTCTGGGAAAATTTTACTGTTGCCGGAGGATTTTATGAGCTTGAAGGTTTGATTTCTTAGAATGTAATATCCTGGATCAAGGGATTGATCTGTTCTCCAAGCCTTTAAAAGAACATGCCCAAAATCTCCTTTAATTTTTACTTGAGCAAGGAATAGGCATTTCAACTCATGATCCAATGGTTGATGGATCCACACTACTTTGCCAGTTAAAATTTCATTAGGTGCATAGGAATTCATTATTATATAAATAGAAGTTCCAGAATGATGTAGAATAATCAACTCTTTCCCATTAATAATTGCCGTATGTATGGCTGTAAGTATTTTTATGAGTTGTCAAGCAAAGCTAAGCAGGGCAGTTTCTCTTCTTGTTTATTTCTCCACTACAGACATGAGGGCCCTAAATGTGAAAACAATCCACACTCAAAACACGAGTGGTTTTTCATTTCTTGGATTGTTTCACCTTATCTTGATCATTTACTTTATGCAGCAGAAAAAGCAACTCTTTCAAGATGTGAAAATTCTCTAATCGGTGCATTTACATGTTTTATGCATTCAACACAATGGGATGTGAATGTGATATTAGTGGCCAGCTGTTCACTCGTCAGTTTGTGGCATCACACTAGAGGCAACTCTGAGTTCCTAGAAGGAAGCTGGCTTTGTGAGGGGAACATTCCTGAATGTCTGCCATGTGGTCTTGCTGGAATGAAGTGGAAAGTCTAAACGTAATGGCCCACATGCATGCGAAACTAAGTAAAATTCATTATCTTTAAGTCATACTAATGTTGGTCTGAATGGTTTGACAGTACAGTCAAAAGTCGTTAATTCGGACACCCATAATCCGGAATGATCTATATCCGGACCTCAAAGCTACAAACTTTCTGCGCATGCGTCGCGTTCACGCATGCGCACAGGCATTTAAGAGTGCGCTTAAGACCTTTACGGCTGCGAATATGTTTGTGCACATGCGCGTTTAATGTGTAACGGAGGTATAAGCTAAGCTAAAATTATCTAATTCAGTTAATGTTGCACGTTGCGTTGTTCCTTAATCTTCGAATTGGATCCGGCTTATTATTTTTTGCAGACTGTTAGAGCAATTTTATAAAAGTAAGCTTGAACTTTCGATTATGTCAAATAGAATTTCCGATATATATTTACTAATATGTAATTTGTAGCTACGAAGCGAAAGTATGTTTTGAAATCCGAAATCTGTTTACCAATTTCACGCCGCGGATTGGAAGTTGATCTGTCAGCACTATCCTTATCTTCAGGGCAGATGTTTTTATTTTATTTGGCTTATAATTCCTTACTAAGTGTAGTATTTCATGTCGATGTACTCCGTGTTTGATATGATTTAAATCAAGTTCCTCGTCATTATAATTCGCTTCCGATAGTGAAGAAAGTGACCCAGAGGTTATTGAAAACGAAAACATTTCGATTGACAAATTAGTCGGTATTCTCAACACAGCAGTTATAGGACTTGAACAGCGGAACTTTGTAACTAAACAAGAAATTATGTCTGTTTAATAGAATTAAAGAGAAAGTATTAACACATGAAGCAACTTACATTGAAAGAAATGTTTAATAAAGGAAACAAATAAATATTAAGCTTTTTCTTTTTGTAAATTTTGATACCCTTTAGATCATAATTGTTCTTTATTTCATAAATTACGGTTTCATATTTTTAATTTCGTAATTTCTGCATGCCATCTTACCAGATTTAAACTGATGATCTATAATCCGGAAAAATCGATAATCTGGAATCACCGAAGTCCCGACGAGTCCGGATTATCGACTTTTGACTGTATTTTAGTTTCTCTTAATGGTGCATGTGCAGATTTCAGCAGATAATGTAGCAAGAAATGGCAAAAGAACTATTGCTGCTGACTTTATTTACTTCAAGGGAGGGGGGGAAGATACAGGCTTAAAATTTAAACCATCAGAAGTTCTAAAAGTTATTTGTGAGCGCTGAAATTGAACATACTCTGTTTCAAATAATAAATGGATTTATAATTGTCTAATGTAGTAGGAGGCATTTATTGAAAGAATTTTTCTAAAGGTGCCAAGTGGTGAGTTGATGAAATTCAAACTAGAATGGTCTTCACTATTAAAATTCTCACTCTATAGGAAAATTTCAGATGAATTATATTTTATTTTTCATAATTGTGTTTTTCTCCCTGTAAAACTTGAAACCTAGGTTTGAATTTAAAAAATTTTTGTAGATTTCTTGAAATGTTTCTCTCTGTTTGCCAATGCATTCCTCTACACATTTATTGTTGCTAGCATATGAATTTATTTCATTATACGGATTTGAAAAATAGATAGTTTTAATATAGATCGTAAGCTTAACTGCATCTTGTAATGAAGCACTATAGTAGATAAAAATTTCTCGATTATCTGGTATGTGTCAATGTTTGCTGCAAATTTGTAATTAACTTCCAAAATAGCATTTGTACAATTTCATAGAAGAATTTATCTCATTATATTAATTTAGAGGTTCTGTCTCTTTAATGAACATTGGTTCTCCAGGAATAGTATGTAGTTTCTTAACTTTTACAGTCAAGTTTGCAACTTCAAAAGGTGCGTTTTTACTAAACCATTAAATTCATTTCAAAAGTTTCTTTATCCAAAGATTTCAGCAGCCGTATTAAACCACATAAAATATCAAAACATTCTACATACATTCACATTTTTCTTCACCAAGCATTCATTGCAAAGTAAACAGTCAGGCCTGTCGTCACTTTTCGCAAGAATGAAAGTGAAGATATATATAAAGAAGCTCTCTCTCTACGTATGTATACATGTAATCAAAATATAATTAAATAATTAAATCGAAATTTTAGTGGTTTTACAGTTTAATAGGAAGAAAGTATGCAAGATTGGAACAAGAACAAAGCAATTTGATATTATAACATAATAAAAGTAATGTAATAAAATAATGCTATAAAACAACTAATTGAAAAGTCTCTAGTCATTTTCAAGGAGCAGCCGAAAAATTCTCAACAGAGCTACATTTGTGAATTACATCTGGATGATTATTCATCAAAAGTAAATGCCAAATAAATTAAATTAATAAAAACAATTTCAGGTGGTTAATTTTTAAAAAATAATGTAAATAAAGAATGCAATAACAAAGTTTTTTTTTAAAATTCTTTTTGATCAGGCATCTGCATATAAAGTGCTCTGACGTGATCCAAGAGAAAAAATACTGTACAAATCTTAAACAATACAAAAGAAGAATTCTTGAAATGAAATGAACAATTTGTCTAATTAGAAACCACAAGCTAAATCAGAATTTTTGAAAACTGCCAAAAAACTGTTACTTATCAGCAAATTCTTCAAAAAGTTTATCTTCAAAAAGAAACTAACAAGTTTTATCCTAAATTGGGAAATATTTTCATCAAGCAAAAGTCTTACAATTAGAGAAAAGAATTAATTTAATAAGAGATTGTTATAGATTGTAATGAAAATTCTTTTGACAGATTAAATGACTAGAGAAAAAATTTAGAATTCAGAACCTACCCACATGGCATTGGGCAAATTAAAGGCTATAGGCTAAATTAATACTTTTGAAAATATGTAGAACTGAAGTAACAAAACTGCTATGATCTGAAAGCAATTAAAGTCAAAACCCAAAGAAAAGAAATGAAACCAAGTTACTTATGTTGAGAATCAAAGAGTGTAGCAGAAAAATGAGAAATATTTTCAAAGAAAATGCCCTAAAATAAGGAAAAAGTGTAAATTTAATAAAAGATTGAATTAATTAAACGGAAAGGAAAAAGAGAATTAAAAACCTGTGACAAAGATGTTCCTTGGAATCATTGTGCAAAATACATTTGATGAAAGGAAATAGTGCTGATAAGCATTAAACTGAGTTAAGTTGTAGGTTGGTAAAATGGAAGTAATTTTAAATCTGGGTTGTAAAGAAGTCGCTTGCAAAACTGAGGAAAGTGGTGGATGGTGTAAATGGAATGATAAAATTATTGAAATGAAATGCTAATGTTTGTATTGTCATATACTCGGTTTCAGCTTTAATTATGTAAAGTAAGATATAAATTCTAACAATTCTAGTAATAAGTATTTATCAAATTTGAGTAAAAGTGTAATTTTTCAGCAACTGCACAATGTATATAAGTTTTATAAAGTTATGAAAAAAGAAGCCACGGCAAAATGAATTATAAATGTGTAACAAAAAGTATTCCTAAAAATTGTGGGTATTTTAGCAGAATTTAAAAACGAATCATGAGCATTAAAAATTAATAAGTATGCAATATAAGCACTATAATAAGTACATATTTTTTGCTCCTGCATAAAATGTTGAAATAACTTATGTAGAGTGCTTCTTTTATTTTTCATATTATGACTTTCAGGAAGCTTGAATATGTTTGTGATTTGATTAATGCATTGGTCATGCAGTGTATGTATCTGAAGATATGTGAGAAATAATTCTACTTCATCTTCATTTTTCTTTTTTAATTTCAGTGTTTTAAAAGAAAAGTTAAAAATTTGCATTTGCAAATATTTTCCAAATAGTCTGTCAGGCTGTTGTTAAGGAAACAAGAATGAAATAATCATATTCTTTCTTTTATAATATAGATTTTAAAAGCTGTAGATTTCAAATTGTTGCAGCAGATCAAAAAAATTTTGAACCCTGGACAAACATAATGAAAACGTGTAATGGACTTTGCCTCGCTCGCTAAGAATGACTTCTATTTTTGTATTTCATCTTTAATTTATAAATTCATGCAGGAAATGCATAAAAAATTTGCATTTAGAATATGACTTTTTTGCAGGATGCAAGATGAGCCTGTTTTGTTTGGTACAAAAGATCAAGATCAGAGACGGCTGCCTATAGATTTTGGAGATTCTAATGCCAAAGGTTGGGCACAGTATAAAGCTGCCCATCCTGATGAATATAAAAGTCCAGGATCTGTTAGAGATAGCCTGGAAGGTAATGCATTTTATTTAATAAACATTCGTTTTGAAGTTCAAAAATCGATTAAAAAGGTGTGCTTTTCTTAATTTTTTTTTAAATTATTGATTTACCTTTAATTATTTGTTTATGAATGTGTTGAAAAGCTTATGATGTGAAATTGATTCTTCTATATTAATTACCAGTTTTATTCAACAGTTGTATTTATATAGTTCTGTTTCTGCAGCAAAGTTTACAAAGTGTACATCTGTATAAAATAATTTTTATGTGTGAAATGTATAGAGAGAATTTTAGAATATAAGAGTTACAGGCAAGGAGAGTTATTTTTTATTTGTAAATCGTGTGTACATTTTATCGTTTGAATAGTTTTTATCTTAAAAATGGGGTCCATTTAAAGCATAATACTTTAAGAAATTAATGCGTATTAACTGAAATTTAAATCTTTACATAAATCCTGTAAGCAACTTTCACAAGTCAGATTTTTATCTAAATGATAAAAATTTGAATCAAAATGTGAAAGGAAAATAATATATTTAAACATATTTCTGATAATTTTAGGCCTTTTTGTTCCAAATCTAGTCTTAGAGAATATGAATAAAAAGACTTAGAAATTTGGCATGCAGTTTTCTGATAGATTTGGTAACAGAACTGAAATGCTAGCTATAAAAAATATATGGGGTGTAATATAATTCTTGGTTACAATTTTAGGAGGTGGTAGAAATGGCAAAAAGAACAGTTTTCATCATACTATATCTGATAGAATAGGAAATATGAAGGAAACACAATAAGTATAAAGAATATAGAAAATGAAAAATTGTTTTAACCATTGATATTTACAAGAAAGTGTTTCATGTTTACAAGAAATGTTCAAATGAATGACCAGGAACTGCAATATAGTCCTGACAAAGATGATGGATCTTATTTACGAGATAAAGGTTGACTCAATCTGAAGATTTTATTGCCAGAATTAGTTTGCTGCTGTGAGGCGAAATGCTGTACATCTTCTAAAGTGAATGACAATCACTTTATTGGCATTGTGATACATATATTACAGTTGAAAGTCATTCATTTGAACAATTCATTTAAATATCAACCATTATTTCTTGTAAATATCCAAGATTAAAATAATTTTTCTTTCTCCATGATTTTGTTCGTTTATTGTCTTTCTGTGTTCACATTTCACCGGGCTCTGTTGCATGAAAATTATTTTGCCATGTTCCCTTACCACTGTCTGTCAGTTTTATTACATCCTGTATATATTTTTCTTTTCTCTCTTAACAGTAATGTGTGCAAGACAGTGTTGGTTAAATTCGCCCATCATCTCATGGATGTTGATTCTCATGGATGCTGGATTATGACTATGGGGGGGGATCATATATTAGCAGTACAAATATACCATGTGATTAACCTTCCAGCACGCGCGTATGTGCAAAATTTACGGCAAATTCAGTTTTTAATGCACATTTTTCGCATATCAAAGCTGAGAAGTCTGAAGCTCATTTCTTTTCCTCCTTTCTACCCTCCCCCACATCATGGAATGTGCCAACAGGAAGTCATTTGACTTTTTTTGGGTACGTGGCTTTTTATTTTCTGGGCTTTTGGCTACGTGGCAGCTTTTTCATTAATAGTTATGACACGCGCGTGGTCGTGTTTTAAAATTCGGAAATATTTTTTTCTCAAATAATGTTGTAATTTTGTGTTATTAATTACCATGTTTTATTTTAATTTGAAGACATTTGGCTCTGCAAATTTTATATCAGTTTTCATGGAGAAGGGGGGGGGAAATGTGCAACCAGCTGATTTGGCTTGGATTCTTCAAGAATTATCTGATGAAGAAAAGGAAGACAAGGAAATATTTGGATGGGAGAACGATAGCAATTTCCATTCCTTAGTTTCTTTCCATTCCTTATTTTCTTTTATTTCTATTTAGAAATAAATAAAAACATTAAAGTTAGTTTAAAGTGTGTTTTTGGAACCAGTAAGAAGTAAATTTCCTTGCAGAAGTAAGTAATGCTAAACTTACATTTTTTCCCTAACCAAGGTGTTTTCCTTTTTTATTGTCTATATTTGTCTTTGGGTGAAAATTAAAATTAGCTTCGATTCTAAAATATAATTATTAAATAATAAATTAAAAATTTTCTATCATGAAGTACATCATTACATTTCCATCTCACTAACATAAGAACTTAAAAATAATTTACTTATATTTGAATGTGATATCATTTGTATTTTGCAATAATAAGGTTAATATTTTATTTCTTAACAAATTTATAATCAATATTCACTTATTTCTGTTGTTTTTCATGACAAAAATGGTAAAATAATGGATGTTGTAAAAAATACGACGCGCATGTGCTGGAAGGTTAAGGAAATTTATCCTGAGCTAATACAAGTACAGCCAATTTGGTTAGCACATTTTTGAGATAAGCCATAGGTAGGTCCATATCCATAAAAAAATGTATCCAGGCAGAAAAGCAACTTTGGCCATAAATTTTTAACATGTTTGCTGCCATCTTTGAGAATACTCGTAGTTAGCAAACTGAATTTACTTACTTACCTCCTATGGGAGAACTCATTATTAATTGCTTTACCTTAATCACCAAGTATGAATATTGCTATAGCAAATGCATGCAGTGTTATGTGTTTGGCATATAGAAGGGACTAAATAATACACTTGGCAAACTGAAATGGATAATTTATTTCACATAATATGGATACAATATAACTACAGTCAAAAGTCTTTAATCTGGCCTTGTTGGGACTTCGGCTATTCCGGATTATCTATTTTTCCGTGTTATAGATCATCAGTTTAAATCTGGTAAGATGGCATGCAAAAATTATACAATTAAAAATATGAAATCGTAATTTATGAAATAAAGAGCAATTGTGATCTAAAGGGTATCAAAATTTACACACACACACACAAAAAAAAAACTTAATATTTATTTGTTTACTTTATTAAACATTTTTTTACATGCGCGCATGCGTAGAGCATACGTTACGTATCGTTGAAATTAGAAAATTGCAACCAGAAAGCTATTTTATGCATATTCGTGATATTTATAATGACGAGGAAATTGATTTAAATCATATAAGAGTACATCGAGATGAAACTTCTGGACATTTAGTAAGGAATTATAAGCCAAATAAATAAAACCATCTGCCCTGAAGATGAGGATAGTACTGACAGATCAACTTCCAGTTCATTGCGCGCCGCGACGCCCACTCCCCAGAGCAGCTTGAAATTGATGAACAGATTTTGGAATGGTTAGATAAACAAATCACCTCTCTGTCACTTTCTTCATGCTTTTATCCATTTTTTGCAGCAATTTCACTTTTTGTTTAATGGACATCGAAACATGCTTTCGCTTTGTAGATCCTTTGGCATCTCCAGAATCGGAAATTCTATTTGACATAATAGAAAATTCAAGCTTACTTTTATAAAATTGCTCTAACAGTCTGCAAAAAATAATAAGCCGGATCCAATTAGAAGATTAAGGAACAATGCAATCTGCAACATTAACTGAAATAAATAATTAGATAATTTTAGCTTGTAGAGACATTAGGATATTTTGGAAGCTAGAGAGATGAAAAATTAGCAACTAACTGGAATCGAACCAAGTACCTCTGGAATACCGGCCCAGCGTGCAGAACCACTACACCACAAAGGATGCTAGGAAAGTGGGAGAAATACCTTATATACTCCCCTTTTTAAAGGGCGACTAGAGTTTTAGGGGATGGGGATCTAGTCGCCAAATCGTGGGTGTGGAGAATCATCTTCCACAACCCTTTTAGTTCAGGCGTGACTTATAGAGACATTAGGATATTTTAAAAGCCAGAGAGATGAAAAATTAGCAACCGCCTTTGCCGGGAATTGAACTACGGACCTCTGGAATACCGGCCAGCGTGCAGAACCACTACTCCACAAAGCACGCTAGGAAAGTGGGAGAAATACCTTATAAGCTTAGCTTATACCATCCGTTATACATTAAACGCACATGCATAAACGTATTATTGCGCATACGTGAACGCATTATGCGTTTACACATGCGCAGAAAGTTTGTAGCTTTGAGGTCCGCATTTTAGATCATTCCAGATTATGGACGTCCAGATTAAAGACTTTTGACTGTAAATGTTTAGAACTCAGAGTCATTTGTGGGGGGCAGGGAGGTCATTATTAACTTGGGAAATTTTATAAATGCTGTGCTTAAATTCTTTTTCGGTGTAAACTAATGGAAAATAACGTATTGCATGTGCAGGAGTTTTTCGTGGGTATTATTGATGCACAGAAAACAGGTGGGTATTGTTTATCCAGTTCTGAGTTATCTCGTAATTGGCACAGGGAGCAAAAATATTATGTCATATGTCAACTATGATTATACTCATGTGAATTTATATTTAAATAATAAAAGAATATAAAATAATTTAAAAGCATAAAAAACACAGGATCTTGGCATGCATTAACAGACTTACCATTTCGGCTTTGGCAGCAAATGTGAAATAAATCTCTATTTTGAGAAAAAATATTTATTTCTGAAGAAGCTGTGTCAGATGGCTCTAGAAATCAACAGTTTTATTTAAAATGTATGCCAATCTGAGATTAATTTTGGTGTAGTGTAAAATTTAACATTATATTTTTCTTCCAGTTATATTGAATGACTTATTTGTACACATCATTTCCAACAACAATATTATTTTAAAATACATTTTACATACAGTTAAATATTTTCTTTTTAAACTTTTTATTTGAATTTAAATTACGTAAATGAAATACAGTGAAATCCTGGGTCACTAATAAATATTCAAAATGAAAAAAAGTCTAGGATGTCAAATGATGTCTCGAGATATGAACAAGCCAACAACAAATGATACTGCAACCTGAAGAAGGTCATGTAATTTATGCTGCTCTTATAAATTGGTGTCATAACAAAAACATCTGCACATAAATTTCATAGGGTGACAAGGCTGGAATTTTGGCTTTGTTGCTGTCTGAGCTTCTCTCAAGTACCACTTAGCAA